TGGAATTGTGATACAGTGAATTATAAGTGAAATAATCTGTCGGTAAACAATTGTTGAAAAAATTACTTGTGTCATGCACAAAGTAGATGTCCTAACCGACTTGCCAAAACTATAGTTTGTTAACAAGAAATTTGTGGAGTGGTTGAAAAACAAGTTTTAATGACTCCAACCTAAGTGTATGTAAACTTCTGACTTCAACTGTATATATACAGTGCCTTGCAAAAGTATTCATCCCCCTTGTCGTTTTTCCTATTTTGTTGCATTACAACCTGTAATTTAAATTGATTTTTATTTGGATTTCATGTAATGGACATACACAAAATAGTCCAAATTGGTGAAGTGAAATGAAAAAAATTACTTATTTCAAACAATTATAAAAAATTAATAACAGAAAAGTGGTGCGTGCATATGTATTCACCCCCTTTGCTATGAAGCCCCCAAATAATATCTGGTGCAACCAAGTACCTTCAGAAGTCACATACTTAGTTAAATAAAGTCCACCTGTGTGCAATCTAAGTGTCACATGATCTGTCACATGATCTCAGTATATATACACCCAGAGTCTGCAACACCACTAAGCAAGGGGCACCACCACGCAAGCGGCACCATGAAGACCAAGGAGCTCTCCAAACAGGTCAGGGACAAAGTTGTGGAGAAGTACAGATCAGGGTTGGGTTATAAAAAATTATCAAAAACTTTTAACATCCCACGGAGCACCATTAAATCCATTATTAACAAATGGAAAGAATATGGCACCACAACAAACTTGCCAAGAGAGGGCCGCCCACCAAAACTCACGGACCAGGCAAGGAGGGCATTAATCAGAGAGGCAACAAAGAGACCAAAGATAACCCTGAAGGAGCTGCAAAGCTCCACAGCGGAGATTGGAGTATCTGTCCATAGGACCACTTTAAGCTGTACACTCCACAGAGCTGGGCTTTACGGAAGAGTGACCAGAAAAAAGCCATTGCTTACAAGAAAAAATAAGCAAACACGTTTGGTGTTCGCCAAAAGGCATGTGGGAGACTCCCCAAACATATGGAAGAAGGTACTCTGGTCAGATGAGACTAAAATTGAGCTTTTTGGCCATCAAGGAAAACGCTATGTCTGGCGCAAACCCAACACCTCTCATCACCCCGAGAACACCATCCACACAGTGAAGCATGGTGGTGGCAGCATCATGCTGTGGGGATGTTTTCCATCGGCAGGGACTGGGAAACTGGTCAGAATTGAAGGAATTCTTGAGGGAAACCTGTTTCAGTCTTCCAGAGATTTGAGACTGGGACGGAGGTTCACCTTCCAGCAGAACAATGACCCTAAGCATATTGCTAAAGCAACACTCCAGTGGTTTAAGGGGAAACATTTAAATGTCTTGGAATGGCCTAGTCAAAGCCTAGACCTCAATCCAATTGAAAATCTGTGGTATGACTTAAAGATTGCTGTACACCAGCGGAACACATCCAACTTGAAGGAGCTGGAGCAGTTTTGCCTTGAAGAATGGGCAAAAATCCCAGTGGCTAGATGTGCCAAGCTTATAGAGACATACCCTAAGAGACTTGCAGCTGTAATTGCTGCAAAAGGTGGCTCTACACAGTATTGACTTTGGGTGGGTGAATAGTTACGCACGCTCAAGTTTTCAGTTTTTCTGTCTTATTTCTTGTTTGTTTCACCCCCCAAAATATTTTGCATCTTCAAAGTGGTAGGCATGTTGTGTAAATCAAATGATACAAACCCCCCAAAAATCCAATTAAATTCCAGGTTGTAAAGCAACAAAATAGGAAAAATGCAAAGGGGGGTGAATACTTTCGCAAGCCAGTACCAGTCAGAAGTTTGGACACACCTACTCAGTCCAGGGTATTTCTTTATTTTTACTATTTTCTACATTGTAGAATAATAGTGAAGACATCAAAACTATGAAATAACACATATGGAATCATGTAGTAACCAAAAAAGTGTTAAACAATTCAAAATATATTTGATATTCTTCAAATAGCCACCCTTTGCCTTGATGACAGCTTTGCACAATCTTGGCATTCTCTCAACCAGCTTCATGAGGTAGTCACCTGGAATGCATTTCAATTAACAGTTGTGCCTTCTTAAAAGTTAATTTGTGAAATTCCTTTCCTTCTTAATGCGTTTGAGCCAATCAGTTGTGTTGTGACAAGGTAGGGGGGGTATACAGAAGATAGCCCTATTTGGTAAAAGACCAAGTACATATTATGGCAAGAACAGCTCAAATAAGCAAAGAGAAACAACAGTCCATCATTACTTTAAGACATGAAGGTCAGTCAATACGGAACATTTCAAGAACTTCAAGTTTCTTCAAGCGCAGTCGCAAAAACCATCAAGCGCTATGATGAAACTGGCTCTCATGAGGACCGCCACAGGAATGGAAGCACAAATAAAACCTCCCAAATCATCAGTTACATTCCTCCACAAATAGTCCCCAATCGATACTTTAAAAGCTACATACCTGAGAGGAACTTGTTGTGTAAGGACAAGGTAATCATTAACTGCTCTATCCGTCTTAGACCTCATCATAACTAACACATAGGTAATCACTGTAATGTAATCTAAGTCTCTCACCTCCAGCTGCTCTCTGTGTTGCAATGTCACGCTAAAAAACACAACAAGGTCCTCTCAGGTATGTAGCTTTTGGTTTGCAGCGTGCTATAATATAATAACATCATAATATAACATAATAATATAACATAATAATAATATAATATAATAATAATGTCATATAATAATATCATATAATAATATAATAATAATATCATATCATAATATAATAAAAATATCATATAATAATAAAATAATAATATAATAATATCATATCATATAATAATATAATAATAATATCATACAATAATAAAATAATAATATAATATAATAATAATATAATATAAAAAATAATATCACATAATAATATAATAATACTATCATATAATAATATAATAATAATATCATCATAATATCATAATAATATCATATAATAATATAATAATATTATATAATATAACAATAATATCATATAATAATAATATAATAATATAATGTTATAATATAATAATAAACTATAGAACACATGACTAGCTAGATCTTCTAGACACCAACCGATAAGGGTGGAGTAGGCCTGTGTATTAACCAATAGGAATAGATGAATCTGTGTACTAACCAACAGGAATAGAGGAGATCTGTGTACTAACCAATAGGAATAGAGGAGATCTGTGTACTAACCAATAAGGATGGAGGAGATCTGTGTACTGACCAGCAAGGATGGAGGAGATCTGTGTACTGACCAATAAGGATGGAGGAGATCTGTGTACTAACCAATAAGGATGGAGCAGATCTGTGTACTAACCAATAGGGATGGAGGAGATCTGTGTGTAGACGTCCAGCATGCGGTTTCCGTCCACGTCCACCAGGTAGTTTCCTCTGCTCTCCTCATAGTTACAGAAGAAATTGATTGCTCCCACGTTCTGGAGAGAGGGACAGAGAGGGACAGAGAGGGAGAGAGATAGAGAGAGAGAGAGAGAGAGCGAGAGAGAGAGCGAGAGAGGGACAGAGAGAGAGAGCGAGAGAGACAGCAAGAGAGCGAGAGAGAGCGAGAGTGAGAGAGAGAGCGGGAGCGAGAGAAAGAGAGAGAGAGAGAGAGAGAGAGAGAAGGTAGTCATTATGTTAACTCAGAGATTAGGTAGTCATTATGTTAACTCAGAGATAAGGTAATCATTATGTTAACTCAGTCTAGACAGAGCGATAAGGTAGTCATTATGTTAACTCAGTCTAGACAGAGCGATAAAGTAGTCATTATGTTAACTCAGTCTAGACAGAGCGATAAGGTAGTCATTATGTTAACTCAGTCTATTTAATAATATACACTATTAAATACCCAATCAATATTAAACTCCAAAACAGACTGTGTGTGTCTGCGTTGTGTGTGCACGCATGCAAGTGTCCCCCCGAAGAATGCATATTTTTATTCCATCATGAAAACAGCCACACACACTCAACACTCACACACCCTCTCTTGCCGTACCTGCATCTCGCCCAACTGTTTGGTCAGCTCCTGATGGGTGAGGAGAGAGATGTTATGTCAGGGTGGTTCCTCGACAGTACGTAAATGTCTCCTATTCCCTCTATAGTGCACTACCCTATGGGCCCTGGTCAGCCAAGGTATACAGGGAATAGGGTTCCATTTGGGACGAAGCCTGTGTGTAACAGAGTGTTCAGTATGGGTGTGTAAAGTCCACTGTGTTCCCATCACAGGGTCACACAGAGGTCACCACGGAACAGGAAAAACAGAACAAGCCTTTTAACAGATAACTACTCTTCTTACTGGTTCATTCTGCTATTACTGACACACATGGAATCAGGCCCAGCATTAGCCCACTGTGTGGTGTGGTACCTTGGAGCGTGGTCCTGGGACCTCTGTCTTCATGGAAGGCCCATCGTATTCAAACTCCATCTGAGTCTTAGCAGCTGCCTTACTCACATACCTGCAGCCTGTCGACACACACACACACACACACACACACACACACACACACACAAACACACACATAGTTATGGCAATGCCGTATTGCTGACTTGTCCTGCAAAAGGTCCTTCAACTTAACCTTAGACAAGGACAAACACTCCATTCATTATATAATGCTGTGTTGGTCTTAGTTTCTGTCTGTCTGGCCACAGGGTATGTAAGGTTATATCATTAGGATGTCTTAGTTTCTGTCTGTCTGGCCACAGGGTATGTAGGGTTTTATTTAAAAAGGATGTCCCTTTGTTTCTGTCTGTCGGGGCCCCAAGGGGGGGTAGGAAATTTTCTTTTGGCCCTTTTTCCTAATAACCCACTGTTTCCCACTACCTCTTTTAACCCCTATAACCTTTTATAAATACTGTTTCCCATACCTTTTATAAACCCCTATCCCAATTTTCCCACTACCTTAAAACACGGGCCTACCCAAACCCCTTAAAAACCTCTATACTAAAGGGGCGTATAAACCCCCATAACCACTAAACTACTGTTCCTACTACCACCATAAACCCCTATAACCTATTCCCACTTGTTTCCCACTACCCCCTATAACCTTTACTCTGTTTTCCCCACTAAACCAAATATAAACCTTATAATAATGTTCCTTACTAACCTCTTTTCTAAATGTTCCTTTTAAACCCCTTTTAAACCCCTATACTACTGTTCCTACTTCCTCTATAACCCCTATACTACGGTTTTTACAAACCCCTTAAAAACCTCTTAACTACTGTTTTTTCCCACTAAACCCCTTAACCTCTTACACTGTTTTCCCCTACCTCTAAACCTCTATACTAGCGGTTTTTCCCACCCACCCTATAAACCCCTATATACTGTTCCCAATACCACTATAAACCCCTACACTACTTTCCCCACTACCCCTCTAAAACTACTGTTCCCCACTACCATACAACCTCTTTTACTACTGGTTCCCATTAACCTTTTAAAAACCTCATAATACTGTTTTTAATTTCCTCTTACCCTCTAACTACTGTTCCTACTACCCCCCCCCAAAAAAAAAAAACCCCCTATAACCCCTTTACACTGTTCCCACTACCCTTTTAACCTCTATAACCCTTTCTGTTTTCCCACCCACCCTAAACCTCAAAAAACTACTAACCAAAACCCCTTTTACACCCGTTTCCTTTCCACTATAAACCTCTATAAACCCCCTAACATTTTTCCTACTCCTCTATAACCCTAAATTTTAAATACGTTCCTTAAATACCCCTATAAACCTTTTTTACTACTGGTTCCCACTACCAATTTTAACCCCTATAACCTCTAACCCCCCTGTTTCTACCCTACCTCCTTTTTAACCCCAAACCTCAACACTGTTCCTCCCACCTCTTTTACCCTTTCCCACTAAATTTCACCCAACCCCTATTTTATCCCCTATAACCTCTATACTACGGGTTCCCTACCCTTAAACCCCTATACTACTGTTCCTACTACCCTAAAAAACCCCTATAATAATGTTTTCCCAAAACCCCTCTTTCCCACTTCCCTATAACCCCACTATTTTAAACCCCTATACCTTGGGTTTCCTTTCTACCCTAAAAACCTCTATTTCTACGGTTTCCCACTACCTCCATAAACCCCTTTTTACTACGTTTCCCAAACCATATAAAACCCCTATACTACTGTTTCCCTTTTTAAACCTCTAACTACTTTTCCCCTTCCGACTTAAAACCCCTATTTAACCCCTACCCTACTGTTCCTTTTTACCCTTCTATACTACTTTCCCCACTACCCATCACCACTACCCCCCAAAAAAACCTTATACTAATGTTCCTCCACCCCCCATAACCTCTAAAACCCTTTCTTTTCCTAATACCCTATAAAACCCCTATACTAACTTTAATACCTTTAATTATTAAACCCCCTAACTACTGTTCCTACTACCCAAAATCAAACCTTTTTAAAAACCTTACCCTACTTTTCCTACCCTTAAACCCCTATAACCCCCAATTTTACTAAATATTTTTCCCATACCTTTATAACCTCTAACTACTGTTCCTCTACCCTATAAAACCTTTAATTTCTGGTTTTTCCCCACTAAACCCCAATATAACCCCTATAAACCCCCAAAACACCCGTTCCTACTACCCCTATAACCTCTATACTACGTTCCTACTTTAACCCCATAACCTCTATACTACTGTTCCTACTACTCTATAAACCCCTAACTACTGTTCCTACGAACTCTATACCTCTATACTACTGTTTTAAAATACCCTTTTAAATTTATAAATAACTTCCTTTCCACCCCTATAACCTCTAACTACTTTTTTCCTACTACCCTTTTAACCTCTTTTTTACTGTTCAAAAACTTATAAACCCCTATACTACTGTTCCTTTTCTTTTTACTACCCCTTTAACCCCATAACCCCTAACTAATTTTCCTACTTTCCCAAAACCCCTATACTTTTGTCCTACTACCCCTATAAATCTTCCTGTTTCCCCTATAAACCCCTTTTAACCTCCCATACTACTGTTCCCACACAATTTTAACCTCTTACTACTGTTCCTACTAACCCCTATAAACCCCTTTTAACCCTTTTACCAATGTTTTCCTACTACCCCCCTAACCCAAAACTATACTCCCGTTTCCCACTAAACCCCTATAAACCCTATATATGTTCAAACTCCTTATAAAACCCCTATACTACGGTTTTTTCCCTTTTTAACCCTATACTATTTCCTATTTCCCTTTTAACCCCTAACTACTGTTCCCAAAAACCCATCCCCTCTATAACCTTTTATACCACTGTTTACTAACCCCTATAAACCCCCTTCCTGTTCCACTAAAACCTCCTATAAACCCCTAACACTTTTTTTCCTCTACAAAATATACCCTCTTTAAAAATTTCTGTTCCTACTACCCCCTTTTAAAACCCCTATCCCCCTATACTACTGTTCCTACTACCCCTATAACCTTTTATTTAACCTCTTATACGGGTTTTACTACCCTATAAACCCCTATTTCTATGTTCATACTAAACCCTAATTTTAAACCCTATACTACTGTTCCCTAACTATACCCCCAAATATTTTTAACCCTTTTTAACCTTTTAACTACTGTTTTTCCCACTACCTATAACCATTACTTTCGGGTTTTACTACCATATAAACCCCCTATAACCCCTTTAGGCTACTGTTCCTTTTACCCCTATAACCCCTATACTTTCCCGTTTCCTATTTCCCCTTTTAAAACCCCTACAAATAATGTTCCTATACCCAAAACTTTTACTACGTTTCGTACTAACCCCATAACCTCTTTTCTACTGTTCCTACACCCCTATAACCTCTATAAACCCCTTTTTACTACCCGTTCCCTACTTTCCACTTTTAACCCCTATAAAAACCCCCATACTACTGTTTTACTACCAAAATTTTAAACCTCCTAATACTGTTCTACTACCTTTATAAACCCAACCCCTCTAAATACTTTTTCCCACTTTCCTCAAACCCCCCCTTTTAATCCCGGTTTCCCAATACCATATTAAAACCCCTAACCCCCAAATGTTCCTACAAACCCAAAACCCTATAACCTCTTTTTAAATACTGTTTTTCCCAAATACCTCTATAACCTTTATTAAAACCCTTTTACTACCCCTAAATTTCTTTTATAACCTCTATACTACTGTTCCTTTCCTTATAAAATCTAAACACTTTTTCCTATTTCCCCTATAACCTTAAACTTTCGTTTCCACTACCCTAAAAACCCCTATACTACTGGTTTTCCCCTTTTCCCTAAACCTCATAAAACCCCTTACTACTGTTCCTACTACCCTTAATAACCCCTCTTTAACCCCTATAAACTTTTTAAAATTTCTGTTCCTACTACCAATTCCTTTTAACCTCAAAAAACTACTGTTCCCACTTAAACCTTTTATAACCTCTATAATACTGTTTCCCTTTTACCCCTATAAAATTTTTAATAAATGTTCCCACTACCAAAATAATTTAACCCCATAAACCTTTTTGCCATTTTTCCTAATACCCTTTATTTTAAAACCCCTTTTAACCTCTAAATAAATGTTTCTACTACCTCTAAAACCTTTATACTACCCGTTCTACTACCCCCTATAACCCTATAATTTTACTGTTTACTACCCCCCTATAACCTTATACTACTGTTCCCATTTCCCTATAACCTTAAACTCTTTCCTACTACCCCTATAAACCCCCTTTTTACTACTGTTCCTTTTAACACCTTTTTTAAAACCCCAAAAACCTCTATACTAATGTTCCTACTAAACCCTATAACCCTTAACCAATAATACTGTTTTCCTTTCTACCAAATATAAATTAAAACCTCTATACTTTCTGTTTCCCAAACCTAAACCCCCATAACCTCAAAACCCGTTCCCTACCCCAAACCCCATAACCTTTTTATAAAAATCCCCTATTTCTACCCGTTCCCACAACCCCTAAACCCCTTTTAAAAAAATGTTCCCTCCCCCCTCTATCTACCCGTTCCTTTACCACTATAACCTTATACCTTTTTCTCCCCCAAACCCAAATAAAAAACCCCTATAACCTCTATACCTTACGGGTTTCCCACACCTCTATAAACCCCTTTTCCCACGGGTTTTCCCACCCTACCCCTATAAATACTGTTCCTACTACCACATAACCTCTATACTACTGTTCTTTAAACCCCTAAACCCTTACAACTGTTCCTTTCTTCCCTAATTTAAACCCCTAAACTCTATAAATACGTTCCTTCTAAACCCTATAACCTCTTAACCCCCAAACTACGGGCCCCACCCTAACCACCATACTCCTAACCTTATAACCCCGTTTCCTACTACCCCTATAAAATCTAAACCCTTTTAAAATACTGTTCCTTATAACCCCCCCTTTTTAACCCCTTTTAACCCTCTACTACGGGCCTACTAAACCCTATCAACCCCAAAAACCAAACTACGGGTTTTTTCCCCCAAACCCCATAACCTCTTTGACTATGTTTCCCACAAACCCCTTAAAACCCTACACACTGGTTTTCCACACCCTATAACCTCTATCTACTGTTTCCCCCTAACGATAAAAAACCCCTATAAAACCTCTATAACTCATTCCCCTTTCCACTTAAACCCATAACCCCTAACACGGGTTTCCCACAACCCTAACCCGAACCCCCATACTTAAACGTTTCCTACCTAAACCCCCTAATTTCACTTTTCCTACCCCACCTTAAAAACCTTATACAAAAGGGTTGTACACCTCTTAACCCTATAATAAAGGTTTCCCACTACCAATAAACCTCAAACCCAACCACAAACCCCCCCACAAACCCAAACCCAACACCCCACACCCAAACCCACACACGGGCCACACCCAAAAAACCCAAAAACGGGCCTACACCACAAACCAAAACCCTACACAAAGGGGGCCAAAAACCCAACCAAAACCCAACCCCAGGGCCACAAACCCAAAACCCAAAAAACGGGCCCCTACCCAAAACCCAAATTTTACGGGGCCGGACAAACCCCAAACCCAAACTTACGCCCTAAACCCAAACCCCCCTAACTACTGTTTCCCACACCCCCTATAACCCCAAAAACTATGGTTCCCCTTAACCCCAATCTTCCTTTTAAAAACCCCCTCTATACTACTGTTCCTTTCTAAACTATAACCCCTATACTACTTTCCTACTAACTAAACCAAAAAAAATTTAAACCTTTTTACTATTTTCCTTTTAAAACCTTTTAAAATACCTCTTTAAAACCTACTGTTTTCCAAATATAACCCAAAACCTCTATACTACTTCGTTCCCCTCCCTCTACCTATATAACCTAATAAAAACCCATAGTTCCAATGTTTTCCCACTACCCTATAAAACCCTTTATAACCCCAAAACCGTTCCCACTTAAACCCCTTAAACCTATTTCACGGTTTTTTACTACCCCTTAACCCCCTATAAACCCTATATACTTTCTTTCCCTAAATTTAAACCCCTTTTAATCCTCTATAAAACTGTTCCTACTACCCTATAACCTCTTTTAAAATACTGGGTTTTCCCACTACCCTATAAAAAAACCTCTATACTACGTTCCACTACCCCTAGAACCCCTATAACCTTTTTAATACCCTTTTCCCTATAAAAATCTTTTAAAACAACTAACCTCTACACCACTGGTTTCCCACAAACCCCTATAACCTCTATACTCTGTTTTTTCCCACCTTTAACCTTTTACACTACTGTTTCCCTTAACCTTAAAACCAAAATATTTTTTAAACCCCTATAAACCCAAAACACTGTTCCACTAACCCTATAAACCCCATAACCCCCCTTTATACTTTGTTTCCATATAAACCTCTATACCCCTTATAACTAATTTTCCCACTACCATATAAACCCCTAACTACTTTTTCCTAAATCTATAAACCCCTAACACTGTTCCCTAAATATAACCCTAACCTTTATACTACTGTTCCTAAATACCTATAAAAAAAAAAAACCCCTAAAACCCCACTGTTTTTTCCTAAACCCCATTTCCTAATACCCCTAAAAACCTTTTAAACTGTTTTACTACCCTATAACCTCATACTACTGTTTCCCACTACCCCATAACTCTATTTTAACCTCTTACCACGTTCTAAAAGGCCCTATAAACCCTTATAACCCTAACTTCTGTTCCCCACACCAAAATAACCCTTTCTATACTAGTTCCTACTAAACCCCTATAACCCCTTTATTTTTAAACCCTATAACCCCCAAACTGTTCCTACTAACCCTAAACCTCTATAACCTTTTTAAATGTTTTTCCCTTAAAATTTCCTTTTTATAAACCCCTAACCATAACTAATGTTCCTACTACCCTATAACCTCTATACTCTGTTCTCCTACCCTATAACCTTAATACTGTTTCCCACTACCATTAAAACCCTTTAAAACCCTTTCTTGTTCCTACTACCCCCTTAAAAAACCTCTATACACTGTTCATTTTTAAAACCCTTTAACCTCAAAAACCTTAATAATGTTTTCCCACTACCACTTTAAAACCCCTAACTACTGTTCCTACCCCCTTTTACCACTTTTAACCTCTATAACCCCAAATTTTCTATGTTCCTTCCCACCATTTTAACCCTTTTTTAAATATTTCCTACTTTCCCCCTAAACCCCTATAACCTTAACTTTCGTTCCTTTAAACCCCTATAAACCCCTTTTAAATAGGGGGTTTTACCATATAACCCTATACAACCCTTGTTCCTTTTTTACCACCAAAAAAACCCCAAAAAACCCTATACTACTGTTTCCCACTACCTTAAAAACCTCAACTACCGGGTTCCCCCCGCCAATAAATACAAACCCCAAAAAAGCCACAAAACCCCACCCAAAACCCAAACCCCCAAAACCAGGGCCCGACAAACCCCAAACCCAACCGGCGGCACTACCACAAACCCAACACGGGCCACCCCAACCAAACCCAACACCGTTCCAAACCCAGACCGGGGGACCCACGGCCATAAACCCCACAAACCCAAACATGGCCCAACCAACCCAAAACCCCCCAAAACTAATGGTTTCCCACACCACTATAACCTCTATACTACTGTACCTACTACCACTATAACCTCAACACTACTGTTCCTACTACCACTATAACCTCTATAACCTCTATACTACTGTTCCTACTACCACTATAACCTCTATACTACTGTTCCATAACCTCTATACTACTGTTCCTACTACCACTATAACCTCTATACTACTGTTCCTACTACCTCTATAACCTCTACACTACTGTTCCTACTACCACTATAACCTCTATACTACTGTTCCTACTACCTCTATATGTGTGTGTGTGCGTGTGTACCCGGTGCAGTGAGCCTGAGGTTTTGCTGGAGGGAGAGGGCCAGCTGCCTGCTGAGCAGAGAGGACGCCATGACTCGGAACAACAGAACGAGGTAGAGAGAGGGAAGGAGAGAAAGACAGTCCTCAACACCTGCCTTACCACTGGAAGAGGAGGGACAGATGTCAGTCATATACAATCAGAAGGAAGAGAGAGAGAGAGGAAGAGAGAGAGAGAGAGAGAGAGAGAGCGGAGAGAGAGAGAGAGAGAGGAGAGAGAGCGCGAGCGAGAGAGTCGAGAGAGAGAGAGAGAGAGGAGAGAGGAGAGGAGAGAGAGCGAGAGACGCGAGCGACAGCGTAGAGAGCCAAGCGACGGAGAGAGAGAGAGAGAGAGAAAGAGAGAGAGACAGAAAGAGAGAGAGAGAGAGAGTGAGAGAGAGCGGGAGGGAGAGAGAGAGAGACAGCGAGAGAGAGCGAGGGAGAGAGAGAGAGAGAGAGACAGCGAGAGAGAGCGAGAGAGACAGCGAGAGAGAGATAGCACTAAGACATAGGTATAGTATAGATACAGTACAGTTCTTATATAGTATAGATACAGTACAGTTCTTATATATTATAGATACAGTATAGGTATAGACACAGGTAGACATGGTTTAAGAGGTACAGTTCTTAGAGCAGTGGTTGAAACTGAGCATTCATCCTACAGCACCACAACAAGTCTGACAGACAGTGTCTGGGGTCAAGATAACTAAAAGGCGTCTGAGGACAACACTAACTGTCTCATTCCATCTGCACTACACAGACCCTGATGTAGACAGATGACTGAAACTCTGGTACAGCCGTAAAGTACTGTCATGTAGACAGATGACTGAAACTCTGGTACAGCCGTAAAGTACTGTCATGTAGACAGATGACTGAAACTCTGGTACAGCCGTAAAGTACTGTCATGTAGACAGATGACTGAAACTCTGGTGCATCCATACAGTACTGTCATGTTGGCAGATGACTGAAACTCTGGTACAGCCGTAAAGTACTGTCATGTAGACAGATGACTGAAACTCTGGTGCATCCATACAGCACTGTCATGTAGCCAGATGACTGAAACTCACTGGCTTCACTTATACTAGAGTTGCCACATTCAGAAAACTTTCCCTAAATCCTCCAGGTTATAAACTATACAAATCCCCAGGTTTTATAAACTATATAAACCCCCAGGTTTTATAAACTATATATATCCACAGGTTTTATAAACTATATATATCCACAGGTTTTATAAACGATATAAACCCCCAGGTTTTATAAACGATATAAATCCCCAGGTTTTATAAACTATATAAATCCACAGGTTTTATAAACTATATAAATCCCCAGGTTTTATAAACTATATAAATCCACAGGTTTTATAAACTATATAAATCCCCAGGTTTTATAAACTATATAAATCCACAGGTTTTATAAACTATATATATCCACAGGTTTTATAAACTATATATATCCACAGGTTTTATAAACGATATAAACCCCCAGGTTTTCCTGAAATCCTGGTTGGAGGATAATGGATTTCCTGCAGATTTTCTGCTGATTCTGTGAATCTTCCAACCAGGATATCTGGAATTTGGGGAGTTTTGGGGAAGTCACTGATAAACTGACTTCCTTGACTGGTACACCTGCATCTTTCAACTGACAGAGCCATCAAAGAATCCCCTACTACAACAACAACAACATCTCACAAACACACACATGAGAACCCTGAGACTTAAGTCAGCCTGTCTGGGGACATCATGTAACGACTAACAACATTATGTGCCCGCCCACACACACTATGTCAACTATAATGAGGGATAGAGGAGGAGAGAGGAAGACAGAGAGAATATGTCAACTATAATGAGGGATAGAGGAGGAGAGAGGAAGACAGAGAGAATATGTCAACTATAATGAGGGATAGAGGAGGAGAGAGGAAGACAGAGAGACTATGTCAACTATAATGAGGGATAGAGGAGGAGAGAGGAAGACAGAGAGACTATGTCAACTATAATGAGGGATAGAGGAGGAGAGAGGAAGACAGAGAGACTATGGTCAACTATAATGGTGATAGATGAGAGAAGGAAGACAAGAGACTTGTCACTATAATGGAGGGATTAGAGGAGAGAGGAAGACAGAGAGACTATGTCAACTATAATGATGGATAGAGGAAGGAGAGAGGAAGACTAGAGACTATGTCCAACTATAATGGAGGGAATAGAGGCGGAGAGAGGAAGACAGAGAGACTATGTCAACTATAATGAGGGATAGAGGAGGAGAGAGGAAGACAGAGAGACAAAGAGATTAAGAAGAAAAGAAGGGAAACGATGATGTCAGTACGTAACATCTTCCCTCTGCTCTGATTATGTGGTTCTGGGAGCTTGACCTCTTTGTGTTGTGTGTGTGTGTGTGTGGTGTGATGTGTCGTTGTGATTGTGGTGTGTGTGTTTGGTCGCTCCACTCTTATGTAATCCGGGTAGCAGAAGCAGGGAAATTCCAGACAGAAGCAACAGTCTTGAGGAGAAGAGAGACCCCTACCCACCACATCTCCCCCTCTCTCTCCCCCTCTCTCTTTCTCTCTCTCCCTCTCCCTCTCTCTCCTCCCTCTCTCTCTCTCTCTCTCTCTCTCTCTCTCTCTCTCTCTCTCTCTCTCTCTCCCCCTCTTTCTCTCCATCACACAGGCACACACCTCCCCCTCCTAGACCTCTCTTTTCTCCTCTCTTCCCAGACTCCTCTCTGACTGGATAGAACTGGTTTTGAGACCGAGTTATACAAGGCTACATATCTCCCTAAGCACCAGAGAGAGAGAGAGAGCGAGAGAGAGGAGGAGAGAGGAGTAGAGTTAAAGTAGTCATATAGTCATACAGTCCCAGTCATATAGTCTTAGTCATACAGTCCCAGTGATAGTCATATAGTCCTAGTCTTTGTCATATAGTCCCAGTCATAGATTCCCAGTCATAGAGTCCCAGTCATAGAGTCCCAGTCATAGTCATATAGTCCTAGTCTTATAGTCCCAATCATAGTCCCAGTCATATAGTCCCAGTCATGTAGTCCCAGTCATATAGTCCTAGTCATAGTCATATAGTCATACAGTCCCAGTCATATAGTCTTAGTCATACAGTCCCAGTGATAGTCATATAGTTCTAGTCTTTGTCATAGAGTCCCAGTCATAGAGTCCCAGTCATAGTCATATAGTCTTATAGTCCCAGTCATATAGTCCCAGTCATACAGTCCCAGTCAAATAGTAATATAGTCCCAGTCATATAGTCCCAGTCATATAGTCATAGTCATATAGTCCCAGTCAAATAGTCATAGTCCCAGTCATATAGTCCCAGTCATACAGTCAGTCATGGGGCGGCAGGTAGCTTAGTGGTTAAGAGCGTTGTGCCAGTAACCGAAAGGTTTGCTGGTTCTAATCCCCGAGCCGACTAGGTGAAAAATCTGTCGATGTGCCCTTGAGCAAGGCACTTAACCCTAATTGCTCCTGTAAGTCGCTCTGGATAAGAGCATCTGCTAAATGACTAAAATGTAAATGTAATAGTCATGTAGTCATACAGTCCCAGTCATCTAGTCATAGTCCATCATATAGTCCCAGTCAAATAGTCATATAGTCCTAGTCCCAGTCATAGTCCCAGTAATATAGTCAAATAGTCCTAGTCATATAGTCCCAGTCAAACAGTCATATAATCCCAGTCATAGTCCCAGTAATATAGTCATATAGTCATAGTCCCAGTCATATAGTCCCAGTCATTTAGTCATATAGTCCCAGTCAAATAGTCCAAGTCTTAGTCCCAGTCAAATAGTCCTAGTCTTAGTCCCAGTCATATAGTTCCAGTCATATCGTCCCAGTCAAATAGTCCTAGTCTTAGTCCCAGTCATATAGTCCCAGTCATATAGTCCTATAGTCTCAGTCATTTAGTTGACATGACATTTTGGGCAAAAAGGTAAACTCCGCTCCATCATTCATTGAATCAGATGGGTCGTTCATCACAAAACCCACTGATATTGCCAACTACTTTAATGATTTGTTCATTGGCAAGATAAGCAAAATTAGGCATGACATGCCAGCAACAAACGCTGACACTACACATCCAAGTATATCTGACCAAATTATTAAAGACAAGCATCGTAATTTTGCCGGACCCCAGGAAGAGTAGCTGCTGCCTTGACAGGAACTAAAGGGGATCCATATTAAATACAAATATAGTCCTAATCACAAAGTCCCAGTCATATAGCCAGTCTCCAGGTTTTTCCTCTCCCACTCTGTTCCATGCTGACAGAGGGGCCAGTCTCCAGGTCTTTCCTCTTAACATCACTCCACGCTGACAGAGAAGCCAGTCTCCAGGTCTTTCCTCTCGCCGTTATAAAACTGAACTGATCATTATTCATCAGGGGTCTCCACTCCATTCTGTCACTGAGCAGAGGGCTGACACACACACACACCTTGGCATGGTTCTCACTCAGTCAGAGAATCCAGTGTTTAGTGAGAATGGAGAATGAATGACACACAAAAGCAGAAAGACATTCATGAATGAATGTGGCTGGTACACCTGTGTCCTCAATCTATCTATCTATCGACGCAACCTGGGTGATGTGTTATAACATGATGTAGCCTGGATGTTGTGTTATAACATGATGTAGCCTGGGTGTTGTGTTATAACATGATGTAACCTGGGTGTTGTGTTATAACATGAGGATGTAGCCTGGGTCTTGTGTTATAACATGAGGATGTAGCCTGGGTCTTGTGTTATAACATGAGGATGCAGCCTGGGTCTTGTGTTATAACATGAGGATGTAGCCTGGGTATTGTGTTATAACATGAGGATGCAGCCAGGGTCTTGTGTTATAACATGAGGATGTAGCCTGTGTCTTGTGTTATAACATGAGGATGCAGCCTGGGTCTTGTGTTATAACATGATGATGTAGCCTGTGTCTTGTGTTATAACATGAGGATGTAGCCTGTGTCTTGTGTTATAACATGAAGATGCAGCCTGGGTCTTGTGTTATAACATGAGGATGTAGCCTGGGTCTTGTGTTATAACATGAGGATGTAGCCTGGGTCTTGTGTTATAACATGAGGATGTAGCCTGGGTCTTGTGTTATAACATGAGGATGTAGCCTGGGTCTTGTGTTATAACATGATAATG